ATATGAAAGTTATCACTGAACTAACTATATGAATTAGGAAGCGAAAGTAGAACCAAATCAATGGCATGCTTCCTTGGGAATACGACACCCAATCTCTCCAATTTTTCAATGTATGATATCATTTCTAGAACATGCGTACACACAAAATTTCCATCTCGACGTTTACATGCCAAGAAGGCTTGAGTAGTTTTGTATCTTTCAACTCGAGTAAAACGTGACGTGGGGAGAGTCACTGGAGGAGGAGGAGGAAGAGTTGAGGAATCATGACGTCCAGTTCCACCATTTCCCGAAGAAGAGAAACAAAATTCACCTTGATCTGAACGTGGAAGATCATCTTCAGAAGGAAGAGGAAAACCATTTCCAAAAGAATGAGGAAGACATTGTTGTCTTGACTTGACATCTATAATAGGAGAAATGAGAATTCAAGTTAGTTGATTTTAATCCTTAATTATTAACCCATAAATTTAAATTAAGGCTAGGATCCGTATTTTTAATTCGCACTTTGAAGAGGGATGCCATTATCAAATTTGAATCTATTTTTTGGTAGGTAAACCTTATACCAATTTCAATCTTATGAAACTCCTAGATCATTTAAGATTCATTAAATCTAATCCATGGTATGTTAATCTCAGATTATGCTCTCACTTTTGTGAGACGGATGTCGAGGATCACAAACGAGATGTGAATAACCATGCAAATTAGCCTGACACTCTCGATGTCATTTATCATCTCGTTTTAATGTGCCGGTTAGCCACACGTGCTCCATTAATCAACGATAATTCTCGAGACACCCACTACCACTCTTTATTAGTCCCCTATTAGTGTGTCGGTTAACCACACACGCTCTACTAACGACTTATAAAGTGTAATGTGCAATTTCATGGATTATCATACAAATTCACATTTTTCCTAAAGTAACTAAGAGTGGGAAATAGTTTAGTTACTTTTAAACGCATTATACTATTATGAGAATTAATTGTCCTATCAAACCCGTTCTGCTAACGACCCTCCACCATATAAGAGAGTGGTGGGTAAGAAAGGATACCCAATGGCGGTCATTTTATAGGCCTCTTCCTTAAACTCCGATTATAGTATGGCTTCGTGAATGAGGCGTACTAGCGATTCGACTGACTATTCTTATACATATAATATATATTACACTTTTAATTATATATACATAGTATAAGGTATATTTTAAAACATTTTTAAAATTACAAGGTTTAATCTTTTAATAAATTAAACCTTTAATATAATTAAATTTAAACCATATTATGTATTTATTAATTATATTTTAATTAATCTTTTAATTAAATTAATAATAAGATCCATAATGATAATTCATGAATTCAAGATACGGATATCTAATTACCTAAATAATTATTCAGTTTTACATAATCAAAACCATTATTTAAGGTAATTATCCTAATCAAATCATGAGATTAACCAAAATCTGGTTTTTATGGATCTGATCGTCCACCACGTCGTGGTAAGCAATTACCACGTCGTGGTCGAACGAAAATGAACACGAATTTACAGATCACCACGTCGTGGTGGAAGATACCACGTCGTGGTGACGGAACAGAATGACCATTCTCTTTTCCTCCTTGTTCAGGTTCAAGCAATATACATTCAATTTTTAGACAACCTACGCTCTGATACCACTGATGGGTTTTACATGTATTAACGCGGATAAATCCTTAACACTTAAGGGTACATGCAACCTAAGGATCTATGCCATAACAACTATTGAAGTAATATTCTATTGAACAACAAAAACTATAAACCCTAGGCTAATTTTCAATTATAACAAAACAAAAGTAGGGTTTACTTACCTTTTAGTTATTGTAGTAAATAACTAATAAAAAACTCTCTTGAAAGACTCTTGGAAGCAAGCACCACAAGTGTCGTGCCTCTAACTGTTCACACCCAAACTCTGGCAACCAAGGAGCTTGAAGAGAGAGAGAGAGAGGAGAATAGTAAAATTTCAGCTCTAAGCCTCTAAAGGAATGCCATAGCTGAAATTCTAAGGCTAAGGGTCTCTTTATAGCTAAGGTAGCTTAGTACCAAAGCTAGGGTTTAAGGAGGAAAACCCTAATCCCTTTGCTTGGTGACCAATCAGCACATTCCCATCTTTGAAGGGGCTTGGACGAAATTCCTCGGGCTTGCCCAAGTGAATTTCGTCCACCTCATCCAATGAGGTCCATGGGCTCCTTTCTTCAACTATCAATACATAACCAAACTGACCCACTACTTTTAATTAATCAAATTAATCCCAAAATTAATTTCAATTTATTCTTGATTAATTATTAATTAAATAATACTATTTCCAATTAATATATTATTCTCATAATATATTAACAAACTATTTATTTTGATTTCCAATTAATTTATTAACCATATAATAAATTAGTAAATCAGTCTCTCTCTAAAAGCTATCATATTTAATTCCTAGGTTTGAGGGCAACCCAAAAGGACTGTGCTATTATCATTTCAATTTTATACCTATTATAGATATGGGCTTAGACACCCAATCCAACAGTAATATCTCTCCTTGTACATAGTTGGTATAGTGATTCGATCAAGTTTGAAGTGTGCTACCAAAAGATTCCAACAAGTTTGGCTTGATAAATATAGAATGATTACACAACTTTCCTAATGTAGCTTTGTTAATAAATATATAACAACCTTACTCTTTTATTCATCAACATCCACATCCACAATATCTTCTTTGATGCATCTAAATCCTTTATCTCGAACTCACTTTGTAGTAGCGCCTTCAAGTAATTAAATCCTATCATATTCTTGGTTGTAATTAGCATATCATTCACATATAGAAATAGATATATGTAGAAACCATTAGGCACTTCATTTGAGTACAAATAACTATTAAACTGTTGGATAAATAGATTCAATAAGAATGAAATCATGAAAATCAAATGATGTAATCAATAGGAACACGAGAATGAAAATAAGATCTTGTTTTTATTAGAGAGTAAAATGAATGCAATTACAAGAATGTAAGACTCCTCTCAAAAGCTATGCTCTACTTCTAACTAACCTTCTATGTATATGACATAAACGAAAGCTAGGGAGGCATCCAACCAATCAGGTCAGGACACATAGGCTCCAACAACTGTCATAATAGAAAGCTAACAACTGTTAACCTAAGAAACTAAATGAGAATACGAACAAACCAATCGCATTAAGTAACACAAAAAATCAATCGTACTTAACAACATTTCACAATAAGACTCAATACAATCCATTACAATACGAACACTACAATCTCACCTCTATGTATTAAGTTGCAAAAAGTACAATCATCCTTCAGCAAAATCTTTTTTAGGAATCCCTTTGAGAACCAAACAAATCCTTATGCACCATCTAATCACCTCAACAAGCCACTTAACATCTTATTTGGAATTGGACTTGCTCATTTCAGCTCTAGAAAGAATATTATTTAAAGTATCAGAACTAAAGAAATGTTTTTCATACAGGAATAGGAACTTGTTTTTCACCATCCTATCTTCATGCAATTTATAAACAATCCACCAGGGATTCTTCTGAATAACACATTCCTTCAATTCTCCATTCAACATAGGGTGAGCTCTACTTTTGCAGTTATGTTTCTCTTTGCAACAATTGAAATTTCAACATCCATCTTTCCAACTTCAAATCAATAATTCATGAGCATTTTGTTAATATGAAGAAGTTGAGGACCAAACTTTGATGCATACTTCTTCATTAGATAATACAACACAATCCAATCATGAGTATTCATGATCGGAAGATCAACAAAAGAAAATTCTAATTGCTACTTTAAATCACTTCTTAAGATAATGAATTTGTAGTTTGTAAATTCATCAACCTTCACTTCTTCTAGCTTCTTGATTGCAACAATAATATTCAGAGACCAAACTTCATATTGTGGTTTAGAGTACATCAAATAAAATGTAAAAAGCTTCTTGTGCTCATCAGAACTGGATAACAGAATACTGGCCATGTGATTAAAACACCTGAATAGGAAAGCTCTCCCACATATTGGCAAATCAAGTTGAGAATTTGTCAGGTTCTCAATCAAATAAGAAGAGATTGGTTCAAGCCAATAAGGCTCCAACTTCTTAATTTCAACTGCTTGAATTCTCTACATCGTGCATTCAGGCCATATTAGTTTCAAAAAGGCCTCAGTATCTTCTTTCTTTCTCTTTTCAGCTTCAATGTGATCCATCTCAATTTGATACCTTTTGAGTTTTTCAATTTCATCTTCCTTCTCCTGCTGTTCCTTTTTCAAAGCTTCAACATCATTTGGATCAACTTCTATTAGAATCAAAATCTTTACAGAACCACATCCATAACCTTTTTCAATAAACTTTTGAGAATCAAAACGAGTTTTCTCAAGAGTTATTTTCATCGAAATATCACCCATTTTAATTTGAGGAATATTGTTGCTTTTCACCAGGTTTGGAATAGTATAAGGACCTTTAATATGAACTATCTGCTTCCCACCCCCCCCCCTTGTGAATGAGCATCGTTATTCGTAACACCAACATTAAGAATAGAAAGAATCGGAGAAAGCTTTACATCAAGCATCTTAGATATGTAATCAACATATGGGGCCTCCTTGTTTACCACTATCTACAAATTTTTCACAATGATTTATTAACTTAACTTCAATCGTAAAGATTGAATCTTCATCTCTTTCTCAGCTAACTGATTAGCTAAAGTAGCTTCAATATTATATTTTTATATTTATCCACAAGAGTATTAATAGAATCAATAATATCTTGATTGTTTATGGAATTTGCAGCAATAATCGTTTCACGAATACCCATGACTTCCTGTAAAACAGAATCAACTTGTGACAAAGCAGAAGATGTAGTAGAAAGAGCTTGTTGAACTTTTAATGTTGTTTCATTAACCAAAAAAGCTTGAGATTGGAACAACTTAGTACTTTCAGCAATGATACATTTCATCCTATTCTCATGAGAAGTCATAAGATTCTAAAAGTTAGTTGGAGAGAATGAATCAGTTCGTCGAATGAAAGCATTAAGCTTTCGATTGAGCATTTGATAATATCTTCTCGAAGCAGGAGCAATAGCAGTTTCATCATCAAGATCACTCTCATCATCAAGTAATGATGCAGCAAGAACAGGTTCAACAAAACTTTGAAAAACAGCAATAGTCTCAAGATCATACTCTTGAACAAAGAACTCATCATTATCTTCATAATGATGTTCTTCTGTGTTGACAATAATAGTTTGAACCGGAGTGGTTGATTCATGAAAAATTAGAGTGGTATGAATCGTTTGCATCAGAAGAGTTGTATTGGCAAATGGTTGAGAAATAGGATGGATGATTGGAGATTGTGATTGAGACTCGGTAAGATTGATAATACGCTCTTGTATGATATCATCAAAATTTTCATGATCCGTCTGATCAGGAATATGAGCAGAAGTCAGAACAGATGAAGACATAGGAGAAACAGGAGTAGTTACCTAAGGAACTAAAGTAATCACTGAAGGATTCGCATCAAGTGAATGACCATTATCTTCAAGTCCAAAATCATCTTCGTTACAAGTTTCAGTAATTATTGCCTCATCATCCTAATCAACCACAACGGGTCTTCTTTTCATCTTAGGTTTCTTAACTTTATTCAAAGGAGTTACTTCGTTAGTTTCTTTCCCATTTCGCTTTCCACCTGTGTGTTTAGATCCAGTAGCAGCAGCTGCCAAAGAATCTATCATAGATTGAGACATAGATCTTACAGCAGGCTTGGGAATCTTCTTGTAAATCTGAATGACTTCATTATCAGTCGGAACAACTTGATGCATTGCTTCAGGAATCAAACCATTTTAGTGAAAATCATTCTCATTCAAAGCATCAAAAGATGTAGTATTCAACACTGAGAATTGAGCCCTCTGAGTATCCTCCATTTCTAGAACCTTAAAATGATCTCGAGCATTCTTTACAACAATAGACAAAAATCTCGCACATGAATATCCAAATTCTTAGATGAGGACGAAATGATTTGAGTAAATTGCACCCAAATGATATGACCTAAGTCATAATTCTCTCCCGAATACAATGCATAAAGCAAAGTATGAAACAACTTGTTTGAATTATCAGAACCAATACTTATTTTAGACAAACAACGAAACAATACATTGAAGAGAGCATTCCATACCGCTGGTAACAAGGACTTCCGGAATCATAAAAGTAATAATACCTCCTCCTTTTATCCCATTTGAAGATACACCTTTATGAATGAAATTGGATCAGATAACTCCATAGAAGAAAACCCTCAATAGTACGTAACCCTGGAAGCTTGCAGAAACCTGATTTCGTGATGTACATTTTGTGAGCTAGAACTTCAAAGTTCATAGCATCTTTCATTGTGTTGTAATTTGCTGAAGTATATGCCAAGATTATAGCAGAAATAGGAAGCTTTGAATAATGTGTTAGGGCTTTTCTCAGAACAAAGTGCTTTAGACACACAATCAATGGTTGAACAACAATTATATACTTTGATTCATCGACATCGAGAATTAAATTTTGATTCCCCTTAACAATCAAGTGAGTTAATGTTGTCGTTTGATCCATAAAAGAGATGTTATTAGCAGAAGTTGCCATAGTGCTTAAGATGAAAACATGAAAGCAGATGAAAAATAACCACTCGAATCGTCTAAATCTTAAAGAGATGATCTATGTTTTGGGATGAGTATTTATTGGTATGCCAAACCTCAATTTTGAATTTGAAAAGTCTGCCAAAATCCGCCATAAGAACTGTCTCATTACGCATCATCCTTGAATCACGCACCCATCACCATTAGACAGTAGTCCAATAATAACATGCCAGCTCATCAACTTTATATTGGAAAGAGACAAATCACTACGAACAGATTTTTGTATTGAACTCAATTTCGCTTCATCGAGAATATTTGAAACATGTCAATTCAGTTTGCAACAGTTTCTTAACGACTGAGCCCACCCTTCAATTTAGCAAAAATTGAAACCATATTTATTGGAATTACGACCAGTGTTACATAAAAATCATCTCAAACTAAGGATAAGAAAAGTATCATCCAGTCACGGGTAGAATGACTTAGAATCACTAACTAGACATTATGAAATCTTGGTTCGGTTTGGTTTGACCTGAGACCTCAAGGATTCCAAGTGAAGTGTGTGAAAGTTCTAGAGAAAATAGATTTTGGAAATAGGAAAGATTGGTGGTGTATCACGTTATCCTACGGTGATAGTAGGCGATCATCACAAAGAGTTTATAACACCATAAGTTCCAAATTGTTTTTATCCGAAACGTAGGGGTGTTATACGAAATTTGATATAAATATGGATGAAAGAAATAGATAGAGTGATGGTGGTAGATTGAAACATAGTTTGTTTCATCTGTCAATTCCTTTGTGGTATTGTTTTCTGGGTCTAATTCTTCATCTTGGTGATAACGATGAAAAGATCATAAACGCATATTTTTGGCACACCAACATCCTAGTAGTTTTATACTAGAGATGTCTTGGGATATGCATCATAGTGTGTGCATAGTGAGAGAAATATTAGATAAGAAGATGGAAAAACGAGTTTCTCAAAATCTCTTGGTGATAATGAAATTGATCATAAAAACAATTTTGGAATAACCATCGTTCCAAATTGGTATATAATCGAAATGTCAAGGGTTAAACAAAAATTATTGTTGGCTTAGAAAAGGAACTCTATGTTTGAGTTAATATATACTCAAAACATCATCGGATTCCAAGATTGCCTAAAGAAACTTTGTGCCACTGCGAAATGAATGATGAGACTACGGTGATTTTTGATAATATAGCCTATTAGGAATAAATTCTTCGAATAATATATTTCATTAAGGTTTCACATTTAAAGAATCAATGAGGCTTCAGACAATATATTGTAGCATGCTTCTAAGGCACATAACTATTTAGAATTAAAAAGAAACAATATCTGATCCACAAGGGTTCCAAGTTGCCATCTTGAGTTGCAACAGTCCACAAAAATTTTAGAAAAGAGAAAATATTTTGGACTTTTGAAAATTTTATAAAAGAGAAAATATTTTTGGATTTCTAAAGCATTTATATAAGAAAAAATATTTTTGGATTTTTAATAATTGTAACATCCCGATGATAAGGTACTTCTAATTTTCACCCTATAATTTTATTATATTGCAATTTGGACCCTAAGTAAAAGAAAGGGTGCTATGAAGGCCCTAGTGGCATTTTTGTAATATTGGATGTTGGGCGAAGTACGCCCTGCGTACGTGTGTACCTCAGCGTAATAGGGCGCACCCTAGTACGTTGGGCATACATATATATGTAGGGCGTACGTGCCAGGCATACAAACCCTAATTTTCGGGTTTGGATCATATTTAAACCCCATTATAGCCTCGTTTCCCCTCATCTCATCATCCTACATCCTCTTGATACGTTTTTACAACCCTAATCCATATTGTGATTCATTTCTAAGATTGAGAGTGTGTGTTTTGTGCTCTTGAAGAAGAAGAAGAAAGGAATGAGAGACCACCTTGGAGGAGTGAAGCTCTTTGGATCCAGGATCACACCACCTTTTGGTGCCATTTTGAGGTATCAAGTTCTACATTTGGTGAAGTTTCATTTAGATCTTGTGTTAGATTGATTTTTTGGTCCTTTTGGTCCCAAATATGGAGATTCTTGAACATGGACTATTTTGGACCCATTAAGTCGTCCCTTCAGCCCTTTGAGAGGGTTTTGAGTCATAAAAATGGGTTCCAAATGGTTGGTTTTGCTCCATGCATCATTTAGAAGGTCTTAATGGATTAAGAAGTTGAGTTAAGCACTTAATGGACATGAAAAGTCATAAATTTGGAAACTTTATGACTCTTGAGGGTATTTTAGCCATGGATCTGAAAGATGGACACGAGAGCTTAAGCCATTAAGCTCTTATTAAGATTTTGGGCTTCTAGGAGTACGCCCAGCGTACCTAGAGTACGCATTATGTACGAGGTCAACCACCCCAATGGAGGTCAACGCTCGAGTACGCCCATCATACGTTTGGAGTACGGCCCACGTACTCACTCTGTGTTAACTCGGCTGACTCGACTCGGTTGGGTTGACTCAGTTGATTTGACTAGTTTGACTTTGACTTTGACCAAGTTTGACTTAAGGGTATTTTGGATTTTGATTAAGATTGGTCATTTGGTTGAATAGGTGATAGTTAGAGCTGAGATTCAGAGTCGGGACCTCATAAGCTATTATACGGTCTGTGAGGTGAGTCTTTCCTCACTGTACTTACGGGTCAAAGGCAACAAGGCCGACCCATTGGATTAGATATCCTGTTATGTAATAGTATGTTATCATGTCGTAACGATCTGTTAGACTGTTATCCTAGTAGATAGGATGATGCTATGCTTAGTGATCTGTAGATCGGCCTGATTGTTTGTTGACTGATTATATGTTTATATGTTATATGTGCATATATTTGGTTGGTGGTTGAGGCTTTACTGCTTTGTACGTGAGCCAACAGACTGGGGGCATTCCAACCCAATGGTTGATTAGGCCCAAGGGTATTCCATCCCAAGGATGACTACTGGACCCGTTGTATATTAGTATTCCACCCTGGGGTATTCCATCTCGAGGATGACTGAACTCGGTGGTTGATTGGGCCTAGGGTATTCCAACATGATGGTTGATTGGACCCGACATGTTGTTGTATATGTTATCTGTTTATGTGTCAGTATTTTGGGGGAAACTCACTAAGCTTTGGCCTATGGTTTTTAGTTGTGGTTTCAGGTATTTCGGATGATCGCGGGAAGGAAAAGGCCTAAAAGTACAAATCCTCTATTTTATGTACTTTTGATCTATGGGAAACGCTGATATGAAACAATACTTTGAAAACAATGATTTCTTAAACATTCTATGATTTGGGGTTGTTTTAGAAAGTTTAATTTTCTAGTGATTTTTATGGATGTTACAAAAATTTTATAAAAGAGATATATTTTTTGATTTTTGTAAATTTTGTAAAAGAAATCATAAACACAAAATATTGTTGGGTACAAAGTTATCCATGTATGACTTTGTAAATGGTTTGATTTTTGTAGACCCACTTGCATGTGGTAAAGTAGCCTTGTGACATGAGAGAGAGAGAGAGAGACATGTAAACACCTCTATATAAGATGGGTTCATACCACTTATAGATGTGTGCTTGAGAGATGTAACATTGAGAGTGTTAGTGTGTGTTAATTATGTAGATTTAGATCTGGTTCCTTTTTTGTAACACCTTTCATAATCTAATGCATCTCTTAAACACCAAAATCACCGTGTTCTTTGTGTGTTCTTTAATTCCGCATGTGTGACAACCGGCAAGTTTCTGGTCAAGTCAAAGTCAAGTCAAGGTCAACGGGGCAACTGGACAACTCATCTAGTGCTTATATGTTAGGAATTACTTTATGTTTTTCTAATGTATGACTATAAATCTTAATGCAAAGTAGCACTTGAAGGTTTCAAATGTTCAGAATTTAAAACCCTAATCTGATTGAGGGAAGTAATAGCTCTATAAAACATTAGTAAGTGCCCTTCAGGGGTATATTGTTGGATAAGGTGTCTAACTCCATAACTTATTTGGTATATACTTGACCCGACCCGGCATGGTCCATTTGGGTTGCACTTCACCCGAACTAGTTATATGATAATTTTATGAGAGTTGTATACTTACGATTTATTAATATATTATAAGTTATAATATATTAATATAAAGTCATGTTACTTAATTAGTTTTAATCTTGAATTAATTATGAATTAATTTAGTGATTAAAAGGAAGACTAATTAAATC